TCTTGGCTGTCTTTCTGCAAGTTGGCAGAGACCGTTCTGTTCAGGTGGGCATTCCCTGAGTGACAGGCTGAAGGTTTGGAATGGATTGTTGTGCCTTACTGCTTTGAATATGTTTCGGTGTTGCTTATATTTTTAAGAATGGTATTTGTTTGATCCTTTTTAGTATTTGTGTACTCACTGTTAGCTTTAAATACTGTTTTTTAATTACAGTGGTGCCTCGCTAGGCAGTTACCCCGCATGACAGTTTTTTCACTAGACATTGACTTTTTGCGATCGCTATAGCGATTCACAAAACAGTGATTCCTATGGGGGAATTTCGCTGGACAATGTTTGGTCCCTGGAAGGCCTGACTGTATAGCCGTCTTCAAGCTAGTCTTGAAGGCCCTCAGCAAGGGAGCCAGGCGGATCTCAACAGGTACGTTGTTCCAAAGGTGAGGGGCCACTGCCAAGAAGGCCCGATTTCTGTTTTTTCCCATCGGGTCTCTCTTGGCATTAGGCCCCTCAGCTGCCCAGACTGACTAGAGCAGGTGATACAGGTAGAACTGGGCGGAAGAAGGTGTTCTGCCAGGTATCGTGGTTCTAAACTGTTAAGGACTTTATATGTAATAGTTAACACCTTGAAATCAATGCAGAAGTGGATAGGTAGCCAGTGTAAGGTGGCCAAAGTGGGGGAAATATGGTGAAATCTTTTCACCCCTGTTAATAGCCTGGAGTGAGGTGGGGTAAAAATATTTCAAATAAAATGAAAATAAACCTGCTGTATTCCAAGGACAAGATTCAGCAGTGACAGCAGAAGGGGGCGAGTGCTCCATCAGTCCCACTTGCTATGATTGTCACTTCGCGTCCACTTCCATCCTGCAGTACAGCTGCAACTGCAATCTGGGCTTTGGGGCATTCATGGTCGGCCTTGGAACGTATCACCCACAGATATGGGGGGGGACTCTTGTATGCAGTAGTAGCATATTCATACCATTGGATAGACGCCTAAATATCTTTAAATGCTTGGAAAATCTGAGAGGTCTCTTTTCAGAAGGAGCAAAAATCAAATGCCTCAATGATTTATCCAATCCTAGTTTTTTTGCCCCAAATATTATTACTACTATGTTTGCAAACACAGTGAAAAAGGGGGAAATGTTTTTAGAAAAAAAAAAAACAAATGTAAAAGAAGGGGAAAAAAGAACCAAAAGCATTTCAGAATATTCATAAATGAATGAGACTCCAGCCACCATAAGTTAAGCATACAGATTAATTTAGGCAGTGATGATAATCCTTCTAACATGTTTGTGTCTTGCAGACTTCAGAATGTTGGCGAGCAAGGACATATGGCGCTGTTAGGACATAGCCTGGCTGCTTACATTTCAGTGCTGGACAGAGAGAGGCTGAGAAAGCTGACAACCAGGATTCTTTCCGATACGACTCTTTGGCTTTGCAGACTTTTCAGGTACTCGGCATTCATTATGTTTTCTGATCTTAAGTAATGCAGAAAATAAAAAGATTTTTAAAGGAGTTGTGGTTTTTAAAGGAGCCTTGTGGCGCAGTGGTTAAAACGCTGTACTGCAGCTAAAACTGTGCTCACAACCTGGGGTTCAAATCCCAGGTAGCCGGCTCAAGGTTGACTCAGCCTTCCATCCTTCCGAGGTCGGTAAAATGAGTATCCAGCTCGCTGGGGGGGGGGATGTGTAGCCTGCATAATTAAAAAATTGTAAACCGCCCGGAGAGTGCTTGTAGCACTATGGGGCGGTATATAAGTCCAATAAATAAATAATAAATAAATCAAGAAAAGTTGCAATTTTAAAGATATGAAAAAGCCAGGTTAAATCATCTGTAAGCTTTAAAAGAATTGGAAAAACATGACGGAAGTTTGGTTCTTAACACAGTTTGCTACAGGAAAAAAGTTCAGTGAGAAATAGTTCAGTTCAGTAATGAAATAGTCTTTGTAATTTATAATGCATGAATGGGGCTTTTCAGTAATGTGGTTACATTATTAATTGCCCTTTTTTTCCTAGGATTTCTTTTCCCTTGAATTTTTACTGAATCTTTTGAAGGTTCTTATGATAAAGAATAAATAAAATGTTTTGCATGCACTGGTTAAAAATATTTTTTGTAGTTTTGTAAGGATTTTAAGGAAGATATTGATTGGCATCAGGTTAGGGTTGTATATTATTATGCTTTAGCTTATGGGACACATGGTGCAGGATGGAATTCGCAAATTGCCTATCTCTGCTCTTAGAAATGGAGTATCTGCCAATTATAAGTCATCATAAAAGTGGTAGTTTATGGAATTGAATGGGCTGGTGCCAAAGTACAGTGCCTATGTTTGTCTTAATACGTAACTTAGTTCTGGATGGAAAGTGCCAGGAACTCACCCACCCACAAGGAACAAGGGAAACAAAGAAAGAACACACCCACTAGGTTTCAGCCAGTCCAGGTTCTTCTGCAGCCTCAAAATTTCTGCTCCTGATCCTTCCTGGATGTTCTGCTTAGCTGCTGATGACAGCTCTTATGATGCTGCTGGATGATTTGACAGACAAAGGGTGACAGAAGGTGAAATGAAATAGGGAAGCATGGGGGGAAAAAACCAAAATAAGAGCCTTTTTTGTTGTTTTTAATTCATATTAACACAAAAGTCCAATTCCTACTAGTGCCAGTACTAGTTTGTCTCCTTTTGAGTGGCATTTGGAGGGACCTGATGGGAAGGAAACAAACTTATTATACTGAAATGTCCAAATGTTAATTCTAGAACATATGCTTTTACTGTAGTAGTGTTTCTGGTGATAAAGATTGGGCAAAGCATAAATTTGTAGGCAAGGCTTCCTTGAAGCGGATTCTGGACAGGTTTGGTGAAAACGTATCAGTTACATCAGTACTAACTGCAACGTTAATTAATTCCCCCCCCCAGAACATTCAGTACTTAATGTGATAGAAATGAACCTTTTTCTGTCAACTCATTGGATATTAATATTTTATCTTAAACAGGTTTGAAAATGGTTCAGCATATTACCATGAAGATGATCGTGAGGGTCTTTTAAAAGTCTGTAGGCTTGTGATACATTCACGCTATGAAGATTATGCCACTGAAGGTTTTAACATGCTGTATAACAAACAACCAGTGATATACATTAGCTCTGCAGCCAGAACAGGCTTGGGCCAATTTCTCTGTAATCAGGTAAATTTAAATGAATGAACTCTTACCTGTGTGAGTGACTCTTCTTTTTGTCACCTTAACTTTATCTGCTCAGTATTTGCCTGGTCATAATGTAGGTATATTTAGAATTCTTATTGTAATGAAGCATTGATTGCCCATTCCTTTTCTTGTTCCTTTTATTATTGTCCAGCTCATAGGTATAGTTTATTATGTTTGATTGTACAGTGGGGTCTTGACTTGAGAACTTAATCCGTATTGGAAGGCGGTTCTCAAGTCAAAAAGTCTGTAGGTCAAGTCTCCATTGACCTACAGTGCATTGAAAACCGATTAATCCCGTAACAGGCCGTTTTTGTTCCATTTGGGGTTTTTTCTGGTCTGTAAGTCAATTCTCAGGCTGCAAGTCAAACCTAAATTTTGCGGCCAGAGAAGTCTGTAACTCAAAAAGTCTGTAAGTCAAGCCGTCTGTAAGTCAAGGTCCACTGTAGAACATTTTAAAGAAAAGGAATGGATGAAAGTCATCTAATCCAGCACTTACATACCCATAGAAAAACCTATATCCACTTATTTCAGGCTTGCACATGTCTTGGGTCCTTGACTCTTGTTGCCTTCAATTAAGCAGCTAAAATCCCATGCAGGGCAGAAGCCCGGATCCTGAAGGAGTTACTATGTTTACAGACGTACAAACAAGAATGGCTATACTGTAGTGACACTTATAATTAATTGGCTCTGAAACCAGTGTGACTCTTCCAGCTTCATTACGTTCCTTCAGACAGATTTTAAACTTCCCGTTTGGTACCGTTAAAATAAATCTGTTTCGAGTTTAAGAGGTTGGTTAAAAGAGGAGGAAGGGACAAAGGCCACTCGCTGAAAATATCCATCTCCTGTGAAAACAGGTGGAAAAATTGCTCATGGGCTTAATTTGCAAATTTGTACATTCATCTAAACAGTTCAAGAGTAGTGACTACTTAGGACATATACACTTTTATATGTACAGTGGTGCCTCGCTTAACGGGCGCCCCGTTTAACGATGAAATCGCATAGCGACAAAGATTTTGCGATCGCATAACGATGTTTTAAATGGGCAAAAATCGCTTTGCAATGATTGGTACCCTGTTTCGCTTACCGATCATCACATAGCGATGATTTTAAAACAGCTGATCGGCGGTTCCAAAATGGCCGCCGGGTAAATAAAATAGCCGCCCGCTGTTTTCTGGGACGGATTCCTCGCTTACCGGGCAGCGAAAATGGCCGCCGTATGGAGGATTTTCGCTTTAAGGTGAGTTTTAAGCCCATAGGAACGCATTGAAGGGTTTCAATGCATTCCTATGGGCTTTTTAAAATCACATAGCGACGAAATCGCTTTGCAGCAATTTTTGCTGCACGGATATTCGTCGCTATGCGAGGCACCACTGTATTTGTGTTTGTATATCTGTGAATGAGTAAGACAAGAAAGCTTCAAATTCTCTCTGTATGTCTTTCCTGCAGCTTGGCATACCACTTTCCTGTGTGTGTCGGGTGCCTTGTAACACAATGTTTGGCTCTCAGCATCAGATGGTAAGTGTTGTCCAAAACAATAGCACGTTGCCGTGTCTATTTCTGTATGTCAGTAATTATATTTCTCCTTTTGTTTGTTGACAGGATGTTGCTTTACTAGACAGATTGATTAAGGATGATATTGAGTCTGGAAAACTGCCAATATTATTAGTGGCGAATGCTGGTATGTAACTCTTTCCTCCCCTTTCTGTAACAAAGTCTTCAAACTGCAGTTCATAGACACGGGTTCGCCAGTTGCATTTTGCTGATTCTGACTTAGTATTGAGTTGATAAGTTCAGTCAGACTGTGCCACTTCAGGCAACAAGTAGAGGTCCACATGAAGGAGTGCTTTTCTGTACCAAGGGACTACCTTGGGTCCCTTTTTGACAGAAATGTAGGATAAAAATAAAGTAAGTGAATAATTTTTTTTTCTAAAATCTACTACCCATGAGTGCCAAATATCTATTATAGTTAATTTTATTTGTCTTATTCATAGGCCACTTTCCTCTCAATGAGGGGGACTCAGTACTTCCCTTCTTTCAGTCATAGGGCCAGATTCTATTTCGAAAAGGGCCATGGAGGCTACAGTCCGTCAATCCACTGGTGGGTGGGACCAAATGGGAAAGCATGAGGCTAAAAATTGCAGCACATTTTAGATCAAAGCTCTTGCTGCCATCAACTAAACCTTTAGAAAGGCATGTCCACATTCTAGAATTTGGGGGGGGGGGGACCAACCCACTATGGAAGTGGGGAAATCACCCAATGAGAATGGGCGCAATGGCCATTTGGGGAACTGTAGGAGGAACTGATCCAGTGCCAGTCCCTGAGGTTCCTCACCTTTGTTTAAATGAAAACTGGGCTTGTGTCTGTACAAGTGAGTAGAGCAGGAACAAGGAGAGAATATGGAACTGACCGTGTGGTACACATTTTTTAAAGCTGTGACGTTGGGACTTGAATGAACCACCTCATGAAATGAGGGAGAGAAACTGTACTTGTGTATTTCCATTGAATGGAGGGGGAGCCCCATTCTCTTCCTGCTCAGCTAGCAACTTAGCATCCATGCAGGGAGACTCATCCTCCCTCCCCTTGCCTGAAGTGGCTAGCCGAGCAGGAAGAGAGGGGTGTCAATTCCAACTTGCAACTTAGGCATCCTTCAGTCTCAAGAGAGTATGGTAATGTGCTCTGAGTGGAGGCCTTGGAACAGCATCTAGTGTGGCTGAGAAGGCCAATTCGAGAGTGACAATCCCTTCCACACTGGAGACAAATACAATCTGTCCCCTGTCCAGCTCCTTGGGTTTGCTGGTTTCAGGACTGCCTCTTTGCCTTGGCCTGCTGAACAAGTGTCTCTTCCAATTGGGAGAGGCTGTGATGCAACGCCTGCCTCTAGATGTCAAGGTTTCACATCTGTTGAGATCCATCCGTAAGGCCTTAAGATCCCGCTTGCAGATATCCTTGTATCGCAGCAGTGGTCTCCCTCTGGGGCGATTTCCCTGCACTAATTCTCCATACAGGAGAATAATTCCAGCTGCTCTGGGATATTCATATATGAATACCGCCATCTCTAACCACCAGCTATAACATGTCCACTGCCAAAGCCTAGAATCTATAACTAAAGAGAAGTTTGTGTTTAGTTGTTGTTCAGCCATTCACGTCTGGTATTTTCAGGCTTGGATCAGAGTTGTTTTCTTTGCAATACAGGTACACCAGGAGCAGGTCATACAGACAAACTTGGACGGCTGAAAGAACTCTGTGAGCAACATGGCATGTGGCTACATGTGGAAGGGTACAATGTTATTAGAACCATTTTAACGTATTGTTAGATTGGAAAACTGTAAATGGCAGCACTCTATGAAGGCCGAGATAGTGCTACCCCCAGAAATTTAACAGCTTCCCATCCTAAACTACTATCTTCCTTTTTAAATCTCCTGGATTTTAAGAGTTTTATGGATGTGGAACGGGTAATAGAAACCATTTAAAGGGAAATTAAAAGTCTGGTTATACACAGAGATGTGGGCTGTTTGGAGAGTACAGAAGCACATGGAAAGAGTCACACGTGCAGAAAAGCTTCTAGTATAGTGCGCTTCCACTCTCTCCTTCTGTACCTAGTTTACAAAGCAGAAAGAAAGCGCAAAGATGAAGATTTTGGATTTCATCATCTTTAATGTAGTCTCACTGGGATTTTGTGTAGTTCTTGTTAGGTTATCACCCACTGATTTCAGAGGCTCTTATGTAACGATGGCTATATCTGGTGGCAACCCATTAAAATCTTAATACTGGAATGTTAACTAGATTAAAATGTAATTTCTTTTCCATCTAGAGTGCTGAAATAAATTCCAGTTTATACTGCATGTGCATTTAAAAATATATTTAGAAGAAATGGCTCCCCTAGTCAGAGGCTTATAAAATATTTAAAAGGAAGCATAAAAGCAAAATGTTACCATTTGATGAAAAGGAAACACGCACACTCATGGCCCCACAGTATGCAAATGTATTCAGGGCTGACTAAGAACAACTCTTTCTTAACTGTTGCACCCCAAAATCACTCCTGTATTTGAGGTGCATTGATGTCATTTTTCTGATCTGGACCCATGAAAAAGAATCTCTAGAGAAATTCCACCAGGATTTCACTAACATTCATCCTAACATCAGTTTCACCTTGGAACAATCTACGCAATGGGTACATTTTCTAGACACCCCTGTAAAACCCATAACGTGGACATCCTAGCATCACACGATGCTGAAAACCCACCAATTGATACACCTACTTGCATGCTTCCAGCATCCATCGCAACAGAATCCATTGGTTACAGTCACACCTTCAGATACAATTACATCTATTCCGACCCGCAAGATAGAGACTCCCATCCCAAAGATCTACAAAATGCATTCCTCAAACTACAATACCTACCCAACATGAATACAGAACAAATTAGCAAAGCAAGGTGGATACTCAAAGTAACTTACTGCAGGACAAACCCAGAAGATAAAATGACCTATTATTAGTTGTTGACCTATTATTAGTCCACAACTAAGACCACTCGCATGCATCATAAGTGACCTTCAACAAGAACACTTCACAATCCCAGGCCTTTGGTGGCAGACCCACACTTGCTTACAGACAGCCTCCCCCCCCCATCTCAAACAATTACTGACATACAATGGACTGGACAACACTTACACAGAGATGGGAACGAAACCCTACTACAACCCTAGATGCCAGCTCTGTCATCACATTCATTCTGGCAACACAACTACTGGATCTAACAACAATGGACTGGACAACACTTACACAGAGATGGGAACGAAATTCTGCTACAAACCTAAATGCCAGCTCTGTCATCACATTCTGGCAACACAATTACTGGATCTAACAATGTTACACACAATATCAAATATACTTTTACCTGCTCTTCTATGAGTGTTATTTATGCCATCTTTGGCCAACAACATCCATCTGCACTCTGCATAAAACAAACAGACAACACTTACACAGAGATGGGAACGAAATTCTGCTACAAACCTAAATGCCAGCTCTGTCATCACATTCTGGCAACACAATTACTGGATCTAACAATGTTACACACAATATCAAATATACTTTTACCTGCTCTTCTATGAGTGTTATTTATGCCATCTTTGGCCAACAACATCCATCTGCACTCTGCATAAAACAAACAGGACTCTATGGAAAAGAATGAATGGACACAAATCAGACATCAGTAATGGGAACGCACAAAAGCCCTTTTCACGTCATTCTAATTTAACAAGACATTCTACATGCAACTTAAAAGTTGCCATTGTGGGGGGGGGAATAAACTACAGGACAAGAACCCAGGGCGACACAGTTGAGATAAAATATATGCACATGCAAGACACCCATCTCAGTGGACTCAATATAAGCTAAGGCCTTTTAGGGCACTACAAAATATGAGCGCTACAATAATTGTACTGTGCTGTACCTCCCAGATATATTTTCCTCCTCAACAGATTCACCTAAAAAAAGCTTCAAAGGTAAACCAGAGAGTCTTAACTCATTGCCATGTTGCTCTTGTGGTCTTCCGTTGCCTGGGCTAATTTACACAGGATGTGTGAATTACCCCAAACAAACTCCTATAAAGAGAAGATCATTAGAAACTGTAAAAGGCTAGTTTCTTCAGCATAATTAACATGCATGTTATTCTACCACTGTTATTCATGACAGTGGTTCTTACATCCTTTACAACACAAGCTTCAATGGAATATATTTACATATCAAAGAAGCTGTCACCCGGTTGTTAAATACTCATTAACTGTCTAACCAACCAACCACAGTCTCCATATTTTGATGCCATGTATAGATACTTGCCATGTTCACTCTCTCTCTTATTATGTCTGAGGAAGTGGACTTGTCCACAAAAGCTCACGTTAAAATATAACAGTCTTTAAGGTGCCATCATGTTTTTTGTCTTTTTGTTGTTCTTTTATTTTTATTTATTTTGTTTTTATCATGTTAATACTCAATCTCTACTAAAACTATGTTGTGGTGTTTTTTTCAGGGTAAATTTGGCCACACTAGCTTTGGGTTATGTTTCTTCACCTCTACTGGTATGTTTATACATTTCCTCTTACATACCTTTTAGCACACCTGTTTTCCATAACTTTATAAAGGGGAGAGGTCTACTACTGCAAGTGTCATTTATTCAAGCTAGAGCTGTAAAAGTCGAAAAATAGGAGAATACTCCATGTTCTCAATGCAGATTTGCTGAACATCTTTGTGTTCTCAAATGGCTTTTTGATCTATTTACAAGTAGAGATGCAGGCCACGATCTGCTGATATGCTTCCAGTGGATCCTGTTGCTTCTGCCAGGATAGATGGCTCCCTCTTCTACTTCCCTCTTCACAGTTACTGCACAGCCTACAAAACTTGCTTGGGAAGGCTGGGAGACTCTCTGGAGCAGGTTTTTGGCACCATGGAGATCTGCAATCAAGGAAGCATAGCGATTGCTCCTCACTGCCTTAGAGAGGCACCCACCTCTTTTTTTTTTGTAAGCTCAGTTTCTAGGTTGTCTTGTTCAGAATTGTAATGGGATGACAAAACTGTACCTTCTATTCTACAGGCAGCATCTAAATGTGACAGCTTGACGCTGACCCTGGGACCTTGGCTGGGTCTTCCAGCTGTGCCTGCAGTAACTCTCTACAGACATGAAGATCCTTCTTTGGTAGGCTTTCAAAGACAAATTTCCCACTTGTGCCAAAGGTCCTTAAGAAGCCCCAGTGCCCACGCGGAGCTTCTTTATGAGCAGATCTTCCCTGTGGCTTCTGGGGGGTGGGAGTGGAGAAGGGAATGCTGAAGCCCTTGCTTTCAGAGAAGCTCTCAATGTTCCTTGGTGCTCCTTTCTGCAGGAAAGCCTGGAGAATATATAAAACGTATTGCACCAGGTCAGATCCTTATTGTGACGTCCAACTCAGTTCCAACGACTGAGTTTTTTTCAGAGTTTTTTTCCACATCACCTGCTGCCTAATTTTTTTTAATATGGTCATGCCATGTTGCACCTCAGTTCATTAGCATTTAAAACATTAGTTTGAGCACTAGGCATATTTCTATCTCCCAGGAATCTATGTGAACCCTGTCTTGAACAATCAGCCTCCTCGTGGACACCATTTAATTTCTGTGAATGTTTGTTCCATACTTCATTTATCGCATTGATTGACAGTAAAGAGTTGCCCTTCTTTCACTAGTGCCCTCCCAAGAAATGAGAGAAATGGTCTGAAGTTTTTTTTTTCTTAGCTTCTTTCTCTGATTTGTTGGGAGGTAACAAAGTAGGGTAGGAAAAGTGCCTTCCGCCAGACAAGACAGTAAAGGAACGAGCAAGCAGGAACACTTGAATGATGTATACCTGCTTGCTTTTTCTTCATGACAGACCAACGTTCCCATAGATTCCTGGGTTTTTTTGTGCCATGAAAATGTTCTCACTGAGAGTCAAACTGTACATTAAAGGTAGCTCATCATTAGAAGACAGTGTTCCTCAAGTGATGAAAATATCTCATTATCCTAGCAGGAGCAAGCGATCTATAGTGTTGTTTGGTCCTTTGATGGTCCCACCCAAGCCAAACAGACCTCTTCAGTTCCCACTTGTTTAAGAACAGAAGAACGAGAAAGAGCCTAGACTATCAGACTAGCTGCATGCTGCTGCAGATGCATAGTGGGCAGAAATCTCATTAGGACTTTGGTCTTCTACCATCACTGAATGCTAGCATGGACCAGGGAGGCTGGCAAGTCTTTGGGTCTCAGTTCTGAGTCCAAGTCCCTAATAAAAACAACGTGTGCCCAACTTGACAGCGCCTTGTGCCACTTGCCTCCCCATCCCTGGCGTGGACTGTCTGAGCTTCTGATGAATTGATAGATTTCAGGGCATCCTGATTTTTGGTCTCCCTTTTCTGGTGTTCAACTCCTTTCAGAAGCTTTGAAATTAGGCACAATAATAAATTGAGACAAAATTAATAGCTGTACTGTAAATGTATAATAATGATGAATTGTTACTGCTTATAGTCCTTGGCTGCAGGCTTGACCTCTAGCCAGGCAGTGGAGAAGCTTCGCGCTCTGCCATTGTGGCTGTCCTTGCAATACCTTGGACACGATGGGATCGTCGAAAGAATAAAGCATGCATCTCAGTTGGTAAGGAATTGAGGATTCGTTTGGTCTCAGGGCCACCTCTTGGGTGATTTTATATCTTGTATGTAGTGAGGCTTCTATATCCTCAGTCTTTGGTCAGAGCACACAGGAGAGGAGAGATCTAGGGACCAGAACAGGCACAATACAGGACATCTCTATATTTTTTACCTTCTTTTTTTTTCTTTTACACAACACAGCATCCATGGGAGGCTCTGATTTTGATCTGAACAGAGAGGCCGGAAAAGGGGAAGTTAACTCTGCCCCCTCCACTTTGGCACACATTTCCTTATCCAAATTCTCTTTTCACAATCTCTGCAACACACTTTCTTGGGTTGAGGTAGCACAGCTGACTGTATGATTTTTGCTGCCCAGTGTAGCTTTACATTCAGTGAAACTGTAAATCATCCTTATGCTGAATCCATTTAATTTATTTACTAAGCGACATCCAACTTAGAGGTACTGTATTTTTTCCATGTATAAGATGATACTTTTTTTCCTAAAAGTTTTAGACAGAAAATTGGGGGTTGTCTTGTACATAAGGGTTACAGTCGAGGGAACCCTGGAGTTGCACAGTGAAACTGCCGATACCTTGTCTCTACAAACAGGCTTCTGCCCAACATACCCTCTGATTTTCAGCCCTGCTAGGTAGGGCTCCAACTCTCATGCGACTTCGCCCCTGCCTCCGTATGTGACTTCCCCCCCCCCCGGTGCAGGTTTCCGTCACAACTAGAATCTAAGGGTTTCAACACGATTGCTGGGTAGAGGAGGAAGAAAGCTACACAAAGGGAGGCAGAGATGTGCATGTGCACACACACCCAGCTTAGAAGGAACCTTGTTTCCACCAATCACTAGCCTTTGGTAACTCTGTCAATTGATTCTGAACAAACCAATTAGAACTCTGAAAGCGTCCATGTGTCTATAACTCCATTGAAGGGGGTAGTATTTTGGCATTATTGCATAGATGCAAAATTTAATGTATGAACAATATTTTGAGCACTCACCCATAAAAATGTCCAAAAATAAAAGGTGAATGTCATATTCTATAAAATTCAAGTTAAAAGTCATCAATTACGCAAAGGAATTTGGAAATAAAGCTGCAGAGAGACGGTTTGGCTCTCCTCCCACTGAGTATATGATCAGACAGTGGAGAAAACAGGAAGAACAACTCCTCAAGATGCCAAAAAATAAAGTATTAAGAGGAAAACCAGCCAAATGGCCAAACTTGGAGCAGAGGCTCAAGACTTGGATTATGGAGCAGCGCCAGAGTGGGATATTTGTATCAACCAAGCTTATTCAATAGAAGGGAAAAAGGTTTGTAAGGGAAGTAGACATTGTTGATTTCACAGGAAAAGTCAAATGGTGCTTCAGCTTCATGAGGAGAGAAGGGTTGGCCATAAGAACACAAAGCAAGTTAGCCCAGAAAATGCCACCAGTTGATTAGGATAAAATCCAGCAGCTTCACTCTGATGTCATAAAACTTCAGAAAAAAATGAGTTTGAACCAAGTTAGGTTGCAAATATGAATGCGGTGCCTATCAATTTTGATGTGCCGTCCAACAGAACTGTTGATATGAAAGGAATCAAAACAGTGACAATCAAAGCAAGTGGTCACGAAAAGACCGCACTATATTGCTGTCCTTTCATGCTGTGCAGCTGGTAAATTGCCTCTTGTGCTCATTTTTAAGAGGAAAACAAATCCCAAAGAGACCATACCGCCTGGCGTTATTGTGAAAGTTCATGAGAAGCGCTGGATGAATGAAGAGATTCTGGCTATTTGGTTTGCAAAGATTTGGTCCAGAAGACCCAGAAGGGTCTTGAAGAGCCCAGCTCTCTTTGTTTGATTAGTTCTGAGCACATTTAACAGAAAAGACAGAAAGGGTTGCATCAGATTTGTGAACACAGCTAATAGTTATTGCTGGTGGACTTACAAGCTTGCGGAACAGCAGGGCATGCACAAGCGGCAGGATTCTGTATTACTAGGCTGGCGAGACGTCCGACTCAAGGGAAGATCAGTAATGTTCTGAGCAAAAGTGCTTTGGGCTTTAGGATCTACATTTTATTCGCACAGCAATTCTGTAAGCATCTCTACAGATTATTCCCACTATTATTAATTTCGGTTATTAATAGCCATCTAGCAACTGAACCTGCCATGACATGGGACTGTTCCTTTAGCACTTCACATTTTCATCTTGCATGAACTGACACCCCCTGCAAGAATGTAATGCTCATCCTGTTTGCGATTGCTGTCTTGTTTTAAATCTTGCCTATTATATTTTCCTATTTTTCAGAGTCAACGACTGTTGGAAAACTTGAAGAACCAGGATTTTATTAAAACCTCAGTAAGTTTTTTTCCTCTGTTTCAACCATGATTTTTGCAACTGCTCTTGAACCCTTTACTCTAACGAGACTTGTGTAAGAGCCTCAACGTTACATATTTGCAAGTTGACAAGCTGGATATAGAGAAAATAGAAGGACTGTGGGTATGTTCCTGTCTCAGTTAAGGAAGAATGATCATGTGAGCACATATGCCCATTGCAGAATGGTAGGTTATAGACAAAATTCAGAATTAGCACAAATGTACAAGAATCTGTAAATAATCTCAGCCAGATATATAACAATATGCTTCATTTATTTATTGGTTCCTTTTCTGCATAAACAATGCTATAGATTCCAGATCAGAGAATCAATGAATCTCTCTCTCTGTCTGTGATTAATGATAAACACTACTCTGGGTGGTTTACATCCAGAGCTGAAGAAACATAAAATAAAGCAAATTATAAATACAGTGGTGCCTCGCTTGACGACGTTAATTCGTTCCAGCGAAATCGCTGTAGAGCGAAAACATCATCAAGCGAAATAAAAAAGCCCATTGAAATGCATTGAAAACCGTTAAATGCGTTCCAATGGGCTGAATACCTGCTCGTCCAGCAAAGATCGTCCATACGGTGGCCATTTTCGGGTGCCTGTCTTGCGAAAAATGCCTCCGAAAAACAGCGGGGAGCCATTTTGAGCAGCCGGCGGCCATTTTGAAAACCTGACGATCAGCTATTTTGATCGTTGTAATGTGAAGAATCGGTTCCCGAAGCAGGGAACTGATCATCGCAAAGCGAAAAAACCCCATTAAAACATTGTTTTGTGATCGCAAAAACATCGTCACGAAGCGGATTCGTCATTATACGGGGTAATCGTTAAGCGGGGCACGACTGTATAATAAAAGACAAACACCACATATAATCAATAAAGCACCCGTCAAATAAATCAATGCAAGACTAAACAATGGCAAACAGGGCAATCTAAAGATAGTGACTTTTTACTACAATAAGAAAGGATGCTCTCAAAGGTTTCAATAAACAGCATTGTTTTGAGCATCTTGAGAAGGAGGCTGGGAGGCCATATATAACCTTACTGGCAACATTTTAATTGTAATGGGGGGAGGGGGGAAGAGATGCCAGAATTTTTGGTTGTCAACTCCTTTCGGCATAGCCCGTGGTTGTCCAGTTATCTGGAGAGTCACAGAATCCTCATAGCTGTTTTAGCTTCAGGTCTTTATCCCGATTTGAATGCAAATGATGACAAAGAATAATGGCATGGCAATCCAAGGATATTTTTCTTCTCTGGGCAAAGCCTAAGGATGCTCTCATGTGTCTTTCAGAATGTGGGCTTTATTTATTTCTCTCTCCAATTTCCATTGGCTAGGTTGAAGATGAACTCACCTCCCCTGTGGTAGTATTCAAGTTTTCACCAGCACTCCCACATATAGGTGAGAATTATACATAAAAAATGTTTGTACTGACACATAATTATTCTGTTACCTTTTATTCTGTATATTTATGAAATATGTATTTTTATAAAAAGATCCCTGCTGAATAGAATAGAAACAGCAGAAGTGGTTTCATTCCTATCTCTTGTAAAGGAAGTAGGACCAAGGTTGGCCAGAGACCAACAGTTATGTGGAGAATTTGGTGACATACTCATTGTTCCTTTGGACTGTTTTTGTCATGTTTTCCCAGAGTATTATTTGTATTATATAAGAGATGGGTGGTTGGGCCAAAACAATCCCCAGTAAAACGTATTAAAACTCAGTAATTAATATTTTTAAAATATTAAACTCGGATTTAAAACTGATGTTAAAAGCCAATTTTAGAAACTAGTTTTCAGAAATATAGGCAGGATGGACTTTGATTACCCACTAGAAGCTCAGAATGGATAGAGCCAGCCTGATTTCCCTTAAGAAAGAATTCCACAATAGGTTTTTCTTCTACAGTGCCCCTTCTGATAGCCTAATCTCTTATGATGGTGGGACATGCGACAGTCCTCCTTCAAAGACCTCAAATTTTTGACAAGTTCTCATGGAGGAAGAGGTCTTTCAAATATTCTGCCCTCAGTTTCTTTAGAGCTTCATGGATCTCGCCTAGGTTTATGCAAGCATTTTTTGTATAAGTGCTTCAAATATCCTAAAATGTGCTATGTTTCAAAGCCACACATTTCCAAATTTAAGCTCTTAATATTCATTCATTCATTAACTTCTAAGCCATTCATCTGACCAGTTGTCACTCTAGGCTGAAGATGGGAAGGCCTGGAAAAAAAACTGGAAAAATTGGGGGGGAATTTTTTTTTCTGTTTTTTTTTTCAAAGCTATTTTTTGTTTTTTTTTTTCCAGAAAAAATGGGGATTTTTTTTCTGTTTTTTTTTTTTCAAAGCCATTTTTTTTTGGTTTTTTCCCAGAAAAATTGAAAAAAAATGGCACGTGGAATATGTTATTTTACAATGATAAATAATATGTCTGTGAAATGGTATTTAAACTATACAACACGAAGACCTTAATGAAAGGTGTCTGAGGCTTTATGTATTTAAGTTATCTGGCTGGGGGACACCAATGAAAACTGGCTGCCGATCCATTTCCAGGCACGATTCAAATTTCTCGTTTAAACCTATAAAGCCCTAAATGGCTTGGGCCCAAAGCTCCCTCAGAGACCGTGTCTCCCTCCCACAATGACCCTGCTTGGGTACTGAGATCATCATCAAGGGAGGCCTTTCTCTTGGCCCCACCATCTTCACAGGGGCATTTGACAAGAGACGGCCTTCTCTGTTGCTGCCCCAAGACTCTGGAACTCCCTCCCACTGGAGGCCAGCCCAGCCCCATCTTTGTTGTCCTTCTGCAAGCAAGTGAAGACCTTTCTCTTCAGGCAAGCTGTCCCTCAACAACTGCTTGCCTGAGCAAGATCCTTTTAGATGGATTGTTATACCTTACTGCTTTGACTTTGTCTTTAGTGTTGCTTATATTTCTATATTCAATATTTTTAGCGTTAAATATTGACTTTTAATCATGCCCGCCATCTTTGAATACTCATTGTTTTGTTCTTAAATATTGTCTTTACATGCTGTAAGCCACTGGTTCTTAACCTTGGGTTACTCAGGAGTTTTGGACTGCAACTTCACGGCCAAATGTGCTGGCTGGGGTTTCTGGGAGTTGCAGTTCAAAAACATCCAAGTAACAAAGGTTAAGAACCACTGCTATAAGCCACCTTGGGTCCTTTTCTAAGGAAAAAGGCAGAGTAAAAATATTTTTAAATAAACAAAATAGTAATGAATAGTGATTCTGAAGCTCTCGTTATGTAGAATCTGTAAATAATAGCTGAAACCCTCTGTGGAAATGGAGGAACAAAATAGAATGTTTCATCTTTGCTACATGAATTTTGTGCAAAGGATCTATTTGTGTGCTTTTTTCTCTTGACATTCAGATCATATGCTGCGCGCCACACAAACCCCTGCAGTAACTGGCAATGAGAGATACGTTTGTGATACTTTTAATCAGTGGGTAGGTATTGATATCCCTTCCCTCTCCCTTGGAAGCATAAAATGTTGGAAGATTAAAAACTGAGTAGGTTTGGGAGGTTGCACAAAATCTACTGACTCTGTGTAGGAGCACCTATGGTGTTGATCCATAGTCTGCAGCCAGATCTTGCTGATGATGAAAATACACACATTCTGCCATTGCCGGTGAAGAAAGGAACACTTGATCCTGAACACTAGCAGATCCTGGGAAAATTACTTCCTTTTTGTGACCTCTGTGGATCACACAATTGGTTTTGCACCTGCACAGAGCCCGTCTTCGGAACCTTCCAGACCTAATCTGTTGTGGTTTTTTTTGAGAAAGCCTCTGCGTTGTGCACGACTAGTGAGCTCCTGAAAAGAGACTCCAGTTCCTTTTTGTCTACCACAGCGAGAGCATCTAGAAACATCCTTTGCTAAGAAATCATTGTTCTCCACTTAAAGTTTTAGTTTCCATCTTTTCATCTTTTCTCTTGTTTCTTCTTTCGTCTTCTTATCTCTGACAAAAAAAGCTCAATTCTTTCCATTTTCTCTTCTGTCATGTTTTTCCTTCCTTGTCGAACCCCCATCCTCATCCCTTCAATCCTATCATCCCTCTTCCTCCAAAAAGAAAGAAAAGAAGACAAAACAAAGAAACAGAGACCCTCCTTTCTCTCTCGTTTTTTCCCCCCTTTTCTCTGTTTCTTCATGGTCAGTTCCATTTTCGGGTCACGGTCTGCTTGCAGGGACCTCTAAGGCCTCCTCGCTTCAGAAGTGCCCTTCCTTTAGCGGCAGCATAGCTCCCACTCATCTTCAGACCCACTGCCTTTTTAGCTCAGGGGACGCTCATCACAGAACTTCAGAAACCATTCTGTCTCTCCATATTCTGTCCTGGTGGTAGCTTCCTGTCCACAATACAGTCAATTGATGAGGCACCCCCATTTCTTTCAGAACTACCCATAGTTTCTCTTGATCCACACAAAGGTTTTACTGTAATCCATAAAGCATAGACTGATCTTCTTTTGAAATTCTTTGGCATGCTCATGTAGCTTAGTGGATATTTGCAATATGATCTCAAGAGCCTCTTACATTTTGGAATCCAGCTTGAATATCAGGGATTTCTCAATTCATGTAGGATAAAAAAACCTGTTCAAACACCCCGACTTCTATTCTTCACTCATGCTCCACCTAGCAGCTATATCTGTATATGGTACACAACTATCTTCTGATTCATCGCTATTTGTCAGTCCTCTTGTAAAAAGATCCCTTAGTGGACTTAAGAATTTGGTTCCATACATTGAACCACCCACTCTTCCATGGTCATTTCCTTTCATGCTAGTGCGCCTGATGTGATCTCCCTTTGACCCAATGGCAACATGCAACATTAACCTTTTTACCTGAAAGACTGCCTTTATAGTGGCTGTCAGCTCAGCTAGAAGCGCATTGGAAATGTGTGTCTTCGTATCTGAAATGCCCTACCTAGTCTTCTGCGCAGATAAAGTAGTTTTTCACATAGATGTTACATTCCTCTCTGAGGTGGTTTCTTCTTTTCACCTTAATCAGGTCATTCTTTGTGTTTTTTCATGATCCAGCGTCTCCCATTGTATGAAAGCTCCATTCTCTGGATGCAAGGAGAGCAATTGCTTTTTATAGCTGTCAGTAGTAAAAAGCTAGAAGAGAAGGTTGATGCCTTTATAAGGCTATAGCAGAGTTGTATCAACATGCATCCATTTCTGATATATGATTATCTGCATGTCTTCTGGTCTGTTGACCATAATAAATCATTCCATGCTGAATAATGGGTGGCTGAAAATATCCCTTTTAATCCTGTTTATCTCTTCAGCTGGGAGAACAGCTTTCTCAATTGGTGCCCGCCAGTGGGGTTGACATCGTAGAACTGGAGGATGAAGGCACGTGTGTGCGCTTTAGCCCATTGATGACTTCTGCAGGTAACTAGGTCCCTTTTTTATTTACCTGGTTGCTAATTACTTAAATTATAAATGCTGTGCTCTCTTAAGAGTCCTTAGAGTGAGTACAGTAAGGGAGTGTCGGGGGGCTAAGTTAATTAATTAATTAATTAATTAATTAATTAATTAATTAATTAATTAATTAATTAATTAATTAATTAATTAATTAATTAATTAATTAATTAATTAATTAATTAATTAATTAATTAATTAATTAATTAATTAATTAATTAATTAATTAATTAATTAATTAATTAATTAATTAATTAATTAATTAATTAATTAATTAATTAATTAATTAATTAATTAATTAATTAATTAATTAATTAATTAATTAATTAATTAATTAATTAATTAATTAATTAATTAATTAATTAATTAATTAATTAATTAATTAATTAATTAATTAATTAATTAATTAATTAATTAATTAATTAATTAATTAATTAATTAATTAATTAATTAATTAATTAATTAATTAATTAATTAATTAATTAATTAATTAATTAATTAATTAATTAATTAATTAATTAATTAATTAATTAATTAATTAATTAATTAATTAATTAATTAATTAATTAATTAATTAATTAATTAATTAATTAATTAATTAATTAATTAATTAATTAATTAATTAATTAATTAATTAATTAATTAATTAATTAATTAATTAATTAATTAATTAATTAATTAATTAATTAATTAATTAATTAATTAATTAATTAATTAATTAATTAATTAATTAATTAATTAATTAATTAATTAATTAATTAATTAATTAATTAATTAATTAATTAATTAATTAATTAATTAATTAATTAATTAATTAATTAATTAATTAATTAATTAATTAATTAATTAATTAATTAATTAATTAATTAATTAATTAATTAATTAATTAATTAATTAATTAATTAATTAATTAATTAATTAATTAATTAATTAATTAATTAATTAATTAATTAATTAATTAATTAATTAATTAATTAATTAATTAATTAATTAATTAATTAATTAATTAATTAATTAATTAATTAATTAATTAATTAATTAATTAATTAATTAATTAATTAATTAATTAATTAATTAATTAATTAATTAATTAATTAATTAATTAATTAATTAATTAATTAATTAATTAATTAATTAATTAATTAATTAATTAATTAATTAATTAATTAATTAATTAATTAATTAATTAATTAATTAATTAATTAATTAATTAATTAATTAATTAATTAATTAATTAATTAATTAATTAATTAATTAATTAATTAATTAATTAATTAATTAATTAATTAATTAATTAATTAATTAATTAATTAATTAATTAATTAATTAATTAATTAATTAATTAATTAATTAATTAATTAATTAATTAATTAATTAATTAATTAATTAATTAATTAATTAATTAATTAATTAATTAATTAATTAATTAATTAATTAATTAATTAATTAATTAATTAATTAATTAATTAATTAATTAATTAATTAATTAATTAATTAATTAATTAATTAATTAATTAATTAATTAATTAATTAATTAATTAATTAATTAATTAATTAATTAATTAATTAATTAATTAATTAATTAATTAATTAATTAATTAATTAATTAATTAATTAATTAATTAATTAATTAATTAATTAATTAATTAATTAATTAATTAATTAATTAATTAATTAATTAATTAATTAATTAATTAATTAATTAATTAATTAATTAATTAATTAATTAATTAATTAATTAATTAATTAATTAATTAATTAATTAATTAATTAATTAATTAATTAATTAATTAATTAATTAATTAATTAATTAATTAATTAATTAATTAATTAATTAATTAATTAATTTGATTTATATCCCGCCCATCTGGTCTATGTGACCACTCTGAGTGGCTCTCATGCTGCGTGTGGTCAACTCGAGTTGGACCAAAAGCACATTTAGGCCTCCCCTTTTTATCCTTTTAGCCGTCTCTTCAGGCAGGCTTTTAGTAATCATGATGGAATCCCTAAATGCCTTCTTAGAGTTAAGATAGCTTTAAAGATTTCCTTGCCTTTATTTATTCAAATGAATTTTATCTAGCATATAACTAAATTGATTTTAAGGTTTAATTTATTCTCTTTTTAATTCTCTTCCTTTTAATATGGTGAGCCGCCTTGGGTCCCCCCTATTTGGGAGAAAGGCGCCCTATAAATAAAACGAACCATGATCATTACCCAGCATCCTGTTTCCCACAGTGGACGGCTCACATGCCCCTGGGAAGTGGGAACATGAAAACAGTAATCTTCTCCCATTTTTGCTGCCCAGCTATATGGCTGTAATATATAGCGGCAACAAGCAGAAGTCACTACTAGATTTGCTTTCCATGTTTTAGTCTTAATAACTTTTGAATCCCTCTGAACTGCCAGGCAGCCCCACACCTTCGGTCAGGGAATCCCAACTACTTGCTATTTGAACAAGGAGTTTGTCTTAAAATTCTTGTTTTGTTGGAAGCACACACATACATCTCTCCAAGTTACTAACATTTAATTCATGTAAACCATATTTGATACTGGTTGTGCATCTCACTCTGGCAGTTTCTAAGTGTCTGTGTTTTATTCCAGAAATTTTAATAACCCCCCCCCAGAAAGCGACAAATAACTTCATTATTCGTCGCTTCATGGGGGCAACTTTGTGCCTCGTGAGTCGTCAACTTTTGATGACTCACGAAGCGGGATGACTCGCCAAAATGGTGAGTTGTCCCCGTCTCTTAATTATTACTCATATTCTATGGCATCAGCAAAATTATCTTCTGCAGTTTGAGACAATATCATATGCAACCTCTTCAGTTTTAGGAACAGAAGTTCAAGATGTTGACCAGTTGGTGGACTGCTTAAAAATGAAGGTTCCGGTCCTGAGGTGCACCCTGCAACTACGAGATGACTTTGAGCAAGAAGTTAAAAGAACTGTAGGCCTTTCCTATGTTGAGGACTTTAGCTGGCCTGGACTTGGAGTCGTAAGGTGAGTATATTCTGCAGAGATCCTTCAAAGGTCTTTTGAGAGCTTTAAGCTGCATATAGATGTAACAGCATGTCCACTGCAAATTCTGGGTGAATCCCATTTTTCAAGGCAAGCAGTCGGCCAGTGCTTAAGGGCAAGACATTTTGCCTGCTTCCAGGATGACGTGACCTTGGAGTGTGTTCAGAGGCTGGTCCTTAAGGTGATCACCAAATAATTTTGCTTTCATCCTACTTCTCCCCTGTGCTAGTATTTCAAAAGCAGACTTTTAAAGGGATTTTAAAAAATAAACATTTAACTAGAAAGACAAGTTAGATACATAGAACCTCTCTTCTTTTTCTTCAAACTGGTACATGGGTGTGAGTTAGATTTGACTGCTGGATTTGGAGCCAGCTAATTTGTTGTGTTAAAAGGTCTGCAGAATCCTAGGGCAAAGAAGATTCTAAATTATCAAGCAGTTGTTGAAAGCTCCTGAAAAGCTAACTGATTTAAATGCTTGCAATATGTCAGGAGAATTAAGCCAATTAAGTGGTCTGCAAATGCCAGCATTCAATAATAAATAGTTAGGTAGTTTCCATTTCTGAAAGAGATTCGTTGGCTTTGCTTCATCAAACTCAGATTTCACAACATGTTTTTAGTAGCAGGTATTTATTAATCACCCATTCCCAAAGAAATTCACAGCTACCCTGAGTGGTTTTCCTCTTCCCCACATCCATCTTCCCCACAACCCTGTGATGTAGTTTAGGCTAAAAAGTATGTCTGAATAGGATCCGAGACAGTATTTTAACCATTGAGACTCTTGCATGGATCATATATTTATTTCCCAACGGCTGTGCGGGATTCAAAGAACTGGAGGGGACCCTATGGATCCTTGAGTCCTGTACATGCTGTAGCATAGAAGTACAAAGCAAAGGTTTATCCTCTTTAAAATCGTGAATATTTACTTGTACACCAGGAAACAGAGGTGAGGCAGTTCAGTGTATCAAAAGCTGCTTTTTTCCTCCAGGACCACACCGCATCCCCACAAAAACAAAAGTGGTCAGAAGTCCCCTTTTGTTCTCATAAAATCCAGAAGGGGCAGCCGTTGAACAGAAAACAACAAGAAGTCCTGACGCTCCTGGAGGCTTCCAGGAATGTCAGGTCTCCTTTTAAAGCCAGGCAGGGGCGCACGGGGCCCTCCTGCTGCGTGTGGTCAATTCGAGTCGGACCAAAAGCACATCTAGGCCTCCCCTTTTTATCCTTTTGCCGGCAGCTGATTGAATCCCAGCTACATGGCTGTAATATATAGCGGCAACAAGCAGAAGTCACTACTAGATTTGCTTTCCATGTTTTAGTCTTGCCATTTGAACAAGGAGTTTGTCTTAAAATTCTTGTTTTGTTGGAAGCACACACATACATCTCTCCAAGTTACTAACATTTAATTCATGTAAACCATATTTGATACTGGTTTTGCATCTCACTCTGGCAGTTTCTAAGTGTCTGTGTTTTATTCCAGAAATTTTAATGTGTATGGCTTTCTATTGTGTTAGGTACGATGGCCAAAATGAAGACAAACAGGAGACAGAAATGGAAAAGATTAATAGTGCACTTCTGAAAAAGTTGAATGAGCTGGAATCAGATCTGGTGTTTTCCCTAGGTATGAAACTAGTCCTTGGGAGGGTGTCGATTTTTGTAATTTAAAAAGTCACCTAAAATTGCAATGTTTTTGCAATATCAGCTATTCTACAAAACTGAATTTTGCATTTATAGCTTGAGCTTCTCGAAATTCTCAGATACTTTTAATTTTTCAAGTTTCAAAATTGTAAAACTTGATAAAACTTGGAATTTTCAAAAAGAATGATGTACTGGAAGGGAAATGTTGACAACTATAGTCAGTGGATAAAGTCATATGTAGAGGTGACTTTGATCTTCCTTCTCTCTGAAGTTCTTATTCATTGTATTTTAATACTAGCAGGTGGACCCAGGTTTGCTCAAGTTAAAATCCTATGAGTCTCATTCTAACCCCACAATCTTCTCTCTTCTTTAGATATCTTGGTACTAGCTGGCCAAAATCCTTTTGCTTAACATAGTAAATCACACTAGAG